TTTAATGTGCTTCTGGGTCCTTGTCCCGCTCCCCTCCGCCATCGTTCTTTATCGTAGCTCCATCCCCGACTTTATACTTCCTTTCTGTCTTCCGAATATACTCCCTCCTTTGATTCTTTCCTTTCCTTCTCCTTCCATCCCTCTTCTCGCTCTCTCTTTCCATCCGGTGGATCACCGCTGGCTTTCGATCGTTACTTGCTGCTGGTGGCAATTCAATTGATTAATCTCGCGACTCCTACCACGAGACGATAACGTTCATTCCTCCCTTCTTGGGTCGTGTTGGGAACCTCCGCCTCCCCCCGTCGCCCTTGCGTACCCTTCGCCACGAACAACCAGCTGAACTTTGCACCCCCGCGTTCGCTGTACGCTCGGAGAGGATCAATTCCCTCCTCCTTTCGTCATTATCTGCCTGTAATTTCGTCGATCGCACTCCTCTCGATTTTCTAGGCTCCAACTTCGGGATCCGCACCGTCGTCCTTGCTGCAACCCCAACCCAGTTTCCTCGAGGAGGCAGGACTCCCTCCGTCTGGATCAGCGCAACCTAGTTCCTGCCCTGCTTCGAATTACGGCGCTCTTATTGTTTCCTTTTTTTCTCCTAGCCTTCTTCTAAATTCCCCGTGCTCGTGCTCGTCAACCATCCTTCTTCGCGCCCTCGTTTTGGTCCTGGATTAGGAACGTGTTCTGGTATCAAGGAACACAAACTATCAACCACTACAGACGGAGTGTCGACACTCTGTCATCCGTTTTCTGCATACGCGTTGAGAGGTACGTCCTGGTTACCCGGTCACCCTTCCCCAGCATTCCCGCCATTCCTCCCCTCCCCAAGTACGGCATTCCCGTGGTGATGTGCCAAACCCTTCCAAAAACATCCACCTAAACAATACTCCCAGCCCTCCTACGAACTGGGTGCCCTAGATGTTGACCATGAGTATTGTCATCGACAGATTTGGATGATAGACTCCTATTTTCAGTCCTTGATTACGCTACTACATCACCACCGCTGTACAATCTCCCTTGGTCGCCACCATTGATTGGCTTTATTCCCCTTTATAGCAAACTACACTCGATTTCTCTAATTCCGTATCGCGTCGCTGAGGATGTTCATGGGATCTTCTCTTTCATAATCTGCGGTCAGTGACCCTGCGTCCGGCTAGACCAACTGGAAGGAACCCATATCCAGAACCCGAATTCGAACTAGAAAGACATGGAACCAATGAAGCCACACATTGCGCCACTGAAGATCGAAAAGGGAAACTCCAATTTCTACTCCAATCGCTTCCATTCTACTCAGCATCAGCAGATGACTCCTCCTTTAACGCCATCCAACACGAACAGAGACGACAGTATGGAGCAGACGGAAACTCCGCGAGCCGTCTTCCCTAACTACTTACGCGCCTTCTACCCTTTTCATCCATCCGGGGACGTATCACCCGCTACCATCACCCTACCATTAGATCAGGGGGACGTCATACTAGTGCACTCAGTTCATACAAATGGATGGGCAGATGGCACATTATTAGATACCGGTGCCCGGGGCTGGCTACCCACTAACTATTGCGAGGCTTACGATCAGTTACCAATGCGTCCGCTCCTGAAAGCGTTGACGGACTTTTGGGACATCATCCAAGGCGGATGCGGCTTCCCTCTACGCGAATTCTGCAATCAGGACACCGTAAAGGGCCTGATTGCTGGAGTGCGCTTTCTACTAGTAAGTACGGACACTGGGAGAACGACACTGGGATAGCTGACAGATCCAAGGAAAAATCCGAGTGTCTCACTCGTGACTCCGTTCTGGTAAGAAGCCATGATGGTCTGCGTAGGAACCGCAAGGCTTTGCTTGCAGATCTCTCCTCCCTAGTCCGGACAACGAAGAAATGCCAGGAAATGCCTAGTAGCACCAATGGCACCGAAGACGAGGTGTACATGATGGACGAAATGCTTCTGAAGGCATTCCGAATCGTGACTCGCGGCGTTCGTTTCCTCGATATTTGGACCGAGGAAGTGGGCCTGAGCCGGACCATCGCGGAGCTTGGCCAGGCAACACATTTTGACATCCCCCCAACTCCCATGTCTGAGACATTCGCATCGGAGGCTGATACGGAACGGGGTGAATCCCGGCTGTTGAACCGCAGCCGATTGGATATGAGTCGTGCATCTAACCGAACGGATACGATGGAGTCGCAGTCCCACCGTCCGGTGTCCGTGTTAACCAAGCGGGTCTCCCACCGAGTGTCGTGCTCAGCGCCTGCTGCGGCCGCCCGAAACCCGAACCTGGCTTCAGAAAGGTTGAACACCACATACGATGCGTTTCTAGGAGTCCTGGGCTCGTTCATTGGCCTTCATCTGCAGTCACGTTCCTCGACAGAGCTAGTAGTTACCACGGAACAGGCGGTGCGCTCATGTCGAGGTTTGCTGACCGTCGTCGAGGCAGTATGTGAGCACGACCCACAGGGATGCGGGCTTCTGGAGCAAGCTCGCGACACCATGTATGATCGACTTTCAGAGCTTGTCTATGCCGCCCGGGATGCCTTCCGACCCGCTCATTCCGCAGATGACGAGCTTATCTTCATGCCAGATGAAGGCAAGCGTCTCGTTGACGCTGCAACCGACTGTGTCAGAGGGGCAGGAAACTGCTTGGCGAAGGCTCGCTGGATGCTGGAGCAGAGTGGCGATTTTGAACTTGAAACGATGTCGCAGGACTCTAGCGCTGTTAATGACCTCCAGAGCACACCTATTCCACAGCGAACCGGGAGCCTGGCAGGGGACCAGAAAGATGTTTCCTTGCGCCTCCCTCCTCCCCCGCTTGAAATTCCCGTGAAGAACCCACGCGATTCCACCTCTACCCCGGGCCTTACTGACGCCGCCACCCCGTCTTCCTTTAATTCACGTGCATTAGCTACTCCAACCACTGATATTACCGATCATCCTACAGCTATGCTGTCCACCAGTCCGGACAAAACGTCTGTCTCATTGATGCAGGACGCTCATGTGGCAGATAGCATCCAGTGTCGCGACAGTCACCCGCGATCTGAAGTCAGCGAGTCCTTCGGCCGCGGCATCACTAGCACCGGGAGTAGCTTCACGTACAACAGCCATCTCCGTGACTCCGAAATGAGCGGGGTATCCCAGACATCCACCCGAGCCACCTCTCCGGACATTTGCAACAGCTACCAAGCCCCCTCGCTCCATGGCAGTCTCAGCCACTCTACCCTGGCCGAGGAGAACGAGGAGACGGAGGCCAATATCTTGGAGAAGACCTTCGCTCATGAATTGATTTTCAAAGATGGTCAAGTTATGGGTGGCAGTCTTCGCGCCCTGGTGGAGAAGCTCACAGCCCATGGGTCGACCCCAGATGCCATGTTCGTCTCCGCCTTCTACCTCACTTTCCGTCTCTTTGCAACTCCAATGGAATTTGCCGATACCCTCGTCGACCGGTTCATCTATATCGGCGATACGCCTCACGCTGCAGGTCCCGTTCGCCTTCGTGTCTACAATGTGTTCAAGGGATGGCTCGAGTCCCACTGGCGCCATGATTGCGACAACGTGGCACTGGACTTTATAATGCACTTTGCCAATACCACCTTAATGCAGAACCTTCCTTCTGCAGGAAAGCGCCTGGCAGAGCTCGCGGAAAAGGTCTCGGCAGTTCATGGTCCAGTGGTGCCCCGGCTGGTGTCTTCCATGGGAAAGACCAACACTGCGACTGCGCAATACGTACATCCGGATGCTCCGTTGCCACCGCCCATCCTTGGGAAGAAGGAGAATAATCTCCTCAGACAATGGAAGAACGCTGAGGGTAGCCTCAGCATTCTGGACTTTGATCCGATGGAGCTCGCACGGCAATTTACTATCAAGGAATCCCGCATCTTTTGCTCTATTCTTCCCGAGGAGCTTTTGGCAACAGAGTGGATGAAGAAATCTGCATCATTAGCTGTCAATGTCCGTGCAATGTCTACGTTGTCGACGGATCTCGCGCACCTGGTGGCGGATTCCATCCTCCAGTTGGAGGAGCCCAAAAAACGAGCGGCTACCATTAAACACTGGGTGAAGATTGCCAACAAGTGTCTGGAGCTCGACAACTACGACACGCTGATGGCTATCATCTGCTCCCTGAACTCGTCAATGATATCTCGTCTCAAGCGGACTTGGGAAATTGTATCCCAAAAGACCAAGACAACGCTTGAGTCTCTGCGGGGTATTGTTGATGTATCGCGCAATTACGCGGTTTTGAGACAACGACTCCAGAACCGTATCCCTCCTTGTTTACCTTTTGTTGGTACATACTTGACTGACCTCACATTCGTGACCACGGTAACCAGCCGTTGCGCAGCCTGCCTACCGAAGACGGTGAGATGGCAGTGATCAACTTTGACAAACACATGAAGACAGCCAAGATTATCAGTGAACTACAGAGGTTTCAAATCCCGTACCGATTGACTGAAGTGCCGGAATTGCAAGCTTGGATGCAGAACGAGTTGATCCGGGTGCGGTCGAGTGGCGAGAAGAGTATGCAAACGTTCTATCGCCGGTCGTTGGTGCTGGAGCCGCGTGACCCACCCCCAACTCCACGCTCAATTCCTCCTCAACCCGAGTCGAGCGCATCGTCTATCCTGGAGAATGCCAAGGATAAATTCGACTTCCTGTCTTGGACACACCCGTCAAAGGCCAAGTCGGTAGCGACTAATGGTTGAAACGTTTGCATTGCTGATATGTGGCCACCATTATGATTTACGACAGTTACATTCTTCGATCATGTCTTACGGCGTTATAACATTCTATCGTTATTATTATTATTATGTTGCTCTTTGTCTTGTTTTGTGGATATCCATTTCCTTTCGGGGCGGCACTCGTGTTATTCTATTCGTGTTTCATTATAAAAGCGATGGGTCAGGATACGCAGGATGGAGTCAAGCGGATTCTGAGAGGGTGAATTGGGATTATACCCGGGAGACGGCGGGATAACAAAAAGGGAAAACAAAACACTGGGTTTTCAAATATACAGATATATCATACAAGCCTCACGGCTGGCTGTTGGGATATATAAACAGTGGGAGAGATACTCCCTGTTCTTTTCCTTTCTTCACCCTGAGTTTTTGGATTTGGGTACATTGGGTGATCTTGACTTGTCGCGAGGAACTGTGTTATTAGGTATTTACTTTTCGATCGATTGAACCGGCTGCATTGGATATGGATGGGATAGGAGCAGGACCGGACTTGAACGGGTTCATTTGGGTGGATTACATGTACCGTATTATGTATATACAATTTTGCGACAATAATCCTAATATTGTCATTCTTGATGACTTTCTTTCCATCCTTGATCTTTGTACCGTAGACCCTAAGACCTGTAAGACATGTGCTAGTCAATAGAATGAAGCCAGACAATGACATGGTTCAGTTGTGTCGATTGCTCCCTACTTCGAGGCGAGATCTCGCAATGTCGAATAGCTGGCTTATTGACCAAGTCCTGGGAGCGCAAGGCCTATCATGTATGGGAGTATTCGGGTTTGCATCATGGCTGGTTTGTCTCGCCTGCACAACCTAGTCGAAATGTTCATCGTACGCTAGATATTGATAGCTAAACAAGATGGATCAGGTTTAGTGCAATGTGATCTTGTCCCTCCAGGCTTTGAACACCTCGGCAAACTCAGCTTGCTCTTCTTCTTCGCTCATATACTCAGCTCCTGGATCAACCGTTGCCAACGTATCCGTCATGTCAAGTAAGGGAATCATCGATGGCCGTCCATGCGCACATTGGAACGGAAAGACGCATCGCGCGAGGTTTTGAACAAGGCTTTGACACTCCTCAGTCGTCAGGTCATCATTGAACATAATGGCTGTCCGACAGGCCCGCGAGTTCAATAGCTCGACGATTCCTTGGGGGCAAACATCAAGTTGTTCCGCCCAACGATCCTGCCCCAAAACTGATACCCGGGCCTCAGGTCCCATGCCGTTTTCCTCGCGTTTCCAAATGTGCCCTCTAATCAGATTTGTAACCAATTCTGGCTCGAGCCTGCAACGCTCGGCGATAAGCACTGGGAGTGTATGCACATAAATGCATGCAGATTTGTCTGCAGGCCCTTGTTCAACAGTATATTCAACACCCCAAAACTCAAAGAACTGTTTATATCTTCGAAAAGTATCTGCCTCGGTAACGGGTATATCAAAAATGATAGGTTCCAATGTGACCGTCTGTACTTTCCCAGAACTTTCTAATGATGGTGTGAAATACTCCTTGAATAACCTCTCCACCCGGCATCGCTCATCAGCAGCATGCTGATCGATAAGAACCAGGATAGAACCTGGATCATTGCTATATTCACTTGCTGCCGTAGTTTTTATCTTAGCCAGAACGAACTTGCGATCAACCTGCGCGATTATCTCCGCCGTCTCCAAGTCCTGTCTTCGCAGTTTGCCCCGGACATTTGGCAATCCCAAATTTTCAAACCCGCAAACGTCCGCTGAAACATCGTTAACTCTGGCATGTGCCATACGTGCTTTGGTGCCATATCCCGTGCCGATCACATCGAGAGATTTATCGGATCGGCTAAAGACAGGGTTTTCCCAAGTGTCCATCATTTTCTCTACCCATAAGTTTCGTGTCTTGCTCAGAATTGCTGACCTCGGCTTTGTTATACGATCACACTCTCGCATTGTCTGGAGTGCTCCTGTTGATCTAGATCTTGGAACGGCATCCATAGGTGATCTGGTACCCACTGACTGGCCAGTCCGAGAGTTGACTAGATGACTCCTTCCAGTATAGGGATCGGTCCAATGAACCACGATATCACTTCCTGATCCGTTCTCAGTTTCAGGCGTAGTAAAGCCAGTGTACGTGGCTAATGCATCTGACCCCTCAAACATCCTATGTTTGTTTCTTTCTGACCGAGCTAGCAGGTTTTCCTGAGCTGAATCCCGCTCAATGCTACGGGACTTCTCTGGAGAGGTTGATTTGGCTTTTGGCCTCGTAGAGCGGGCGTCGAAAGACTCATGGGCACTTTTGATTCTTGACCACTCTCCAAAACTTTGACTGACGTTTGGTGCCAACCTTTGGAAGTTCGGAAATTTCAATTGACCGCACAGAGCTTCCTCGCTGTTGAACGCTTGACCTGGATGGTTTGGTGCACGATCAGAACGGCTTGTGGGTGCTCCGACCATCTGTTTTTGTGCCATCTTCTGTTTCCTTCTCCCACCGCGCGGGCGTAAGTTATGCTGCTTCAAGAATTCTTGTATCATTGCCGCAAGTACATCCATAATGCGTTGGACAGATTTGTCGGACTCAGGCAATCCATGGCCCTCACTGTTGATCTTATATGACTCATTAGTGTCTATGCGTATATAGAACATAGGCCACTTGTTGATAGCCTTGGTTGTAGACTTCGTACTTGAACCACTGTAAATGTCAGGATGCTGATTTTGGCTTCTCCCGCGAGCGGATGTAGATGGGGTGCCCGTAGTACCGAAATCAGACAGAGAAAACAAGCGATTAACTTCGGCGTAGAATATATTGACACTGCTTTTGGGAAAGACTGGATCCATTCCCAAGGAGATAAATTGTATTTTCTTGGTAGGGTTTGGCACAACGGATATAGCAGCATGAACAGAGAAACCAGGCACGTTAGCCGAGACAGTATCCCAGCTGTGAGCGTTCTGACGTTCAATCAGCCCTGCCTGCGCAAGGATTGATACTATACGCTGGAGGTCCAGTTCACCATCGGTTCGGTGATTCTGAGTTCGGATGATGATCCTCTTATCTCTTGAAGCTTCAATGATAACCAACTTTGTCAAGTTACCGTTCGCAAGCATTAACGAGACCAACTGTTGTCGTAGTTCGTCCCATTGCCGATCCAATTCGTCGTGCCTTTGTAAGGCCAAGGCACGATTTTTCACTCTCACGGGCATGTTTCCAAACAAATCATTAACCGTAACGCTAGTTCCATGGCTGCTAAGCCTGAGCTCCTGTTGAACTGGAGCTGGTATCAGCCGTGCAACCGGAGTTGAATGGTGGAACATGATAGTATTTGTGCTAGGATGGCGAACATGGTGAGAAGTGATGGTCAGCAGCGAAAGTGACGACAACGAAGCTAGAAACAGCCCCTTCTGGCCATATACATCAGTGACAGTGTGATATTTAGATGTATCTGCCAGTAAGTGAGCGAAAAATATCTACCCGATGCACATTCAACTTACGATGTGCCTTCCCTAAGCCTCCACTAGGTTCGAACTCCGTTGGTAGAATTCCATCACCATCGTCATCCACCTTACAACCCCCACGTTGAAAGTCTACCGTCACAGAGACTGTGCGGGCATCTGCATCCAGCGCGTTCTTCACTAGTTCGACGATCACCCCATTTAGGTGCGTGATGGACGTGGAAGATTTGAGCTTCGCTACCACTTCGGGCGGCAGGGGCTCAATCCTGCGACTGTTCCCAGACATCGCAGATGGTCAAAATCAAATGTACATGGCTTACAGAAAGTGATGTCCGCCACATGTTGTCATTCGGGGGTTCAAGTTACCTCCATGGCATATAGACATCAAAAAAGGTAGATTAGGAAGAGGAAAGAATGAGAGACGGGAGTTGCTACTGTATCAGAATGAAGGTGTTCCCCACGCTCAGGCTAAAAGATCGTAACTTTTTAGCGCTGCCGGCTTCCCGTGGTGACCGTCGTCCAATGGTAGGGCATATATCTACACTACTAATCACTCGGTCTATCCAAAATATCCTTCGTTAGTTCCAATCCTTTTTTCTGCTCTGGTTCTATTTTATATTTTTTATTTTGTTAATCTTTTAATCTTTT